ACGCGCGGGAAGGAACGCGGGCGGGAGGTGACAACGGGTGCTCGTAAATTTACAATAATTTCGACGAGAGTGCACACCGACGCTCGCGGCTGCACGAATGGCTGCAGACATTCCGAATCGTCCTTGCTTCATGGCGAAAATTCCATTCGGTGGAAACGACGAACTTAGTACTCCTCTGCCCGCTCCCCAGTGAGTCAATCGTGGCCCGAAAATTCACGGTAACCCGAATCGAGCTTTTAAATTATCGCGAGCAACCATATGTATTAACCATTTGAAGCACAGGTCTCATAATGAGACTACCAAGAAAAATAAAAAAGTTTTTGAGGTTATAATATACCAAAATTAAAGTTACAGGTTCATAAGTTTTTTCTATATACAGGATGTCTCACACTCTCCTCCGGGCATTTTGTGGTGACGTAGAACAGGTTGAGGTGAACATAAAAGTCCTATACCGTTTTGCGATATTCGCAATAATTATCGAGATATTAATTGTAGAAAACTTGTAAATAATCATGCAGAATATGATAAATGAGTTATAATAGCGACGACTGCCGTCGTGTACTTATACTTTAGGTAAAATTGAACAAAAAAGTCCTCTACCATTTTCCAAATAATCACATAGATTCTTAATTATTAATTAAAGAAGATGAGTGCATTATCACGCAAAATCGTGCAATAATATTCTTTAATTAATAATTAAAAATTTATGTGATTATTTGGAAAATGGTAGAGGACTTTTTTGTTCAATTTGATCTAAAATATAAGTACACGACGGCAGTCGTCGCTATTATAACTCATTTATCATATTCTGCATGATTATTTCCAAGTTTTCTACAATTAATATCTCGATAATTATTGCGAATATCGCAAAACGGTATAGGACTTTTATGTTCACCTCAATTTGTTCTACGTCCCCACAAAATACTCGGAGGAGAGTGTGAGATACTCTGTATATCAGGAAAAACGGCAAAAGTTACACAACTCACCTGCGAGTGGGATAAACGCCAGAACCTATGACTGAAGCGCTATGATTTGGTAATAGGTGATCTCACAGTGAAATCACTGTGTTCCAAAGAGTTAAGCGCGCTTAAGTATCGCGAATCGAAATTTTACTTTCGACCTGAACTTTGTAACATCTGTATATTCTTAAAGACTAGTTTATGTTCAATACACATGGAAAGTGAAGTCCTACTTAGCGCCTCTAAATGGCAGAAAACGGACAAAAAGCCACTTGTAGGTTCTAAAGAGCATCCCCTCGGCAAAGTTAGTAGGTTAAATGGGATCAGGAGAAGTTGATATATACTTCAGAGCATCAAAGTAGGCGTTAAATGGAACATTGAGATCGAAAATTGGATCAAGATTCCTACTTGGGATGTTAATAATTGAAAACCAACTTTCAAGAAAGCGAGAAGGATCGAACGCTGAAAAGCGCGACAAATTAAGCGAGGAAGCAGCGCTAAAACGCACAATTCATTTGTTAATATAATTACTTCCTCCGTACCGCGCGCAAAAGAGTTCCTTCGTATTTGCAAACGCGAAGATGTTCAACTCAAAATAATTACAGCCGGCTCTGCTCGTTTCCTCTATGTAAAAGTTGTCCAATTAAAAGTTCCCCTCTAGAATTCAAGACGGCGGAAGGAGAGCCGCGATGGCGCGGCGCACAAACGATATCGAAACGTCGCTCCTCGATTTCCTCGCGCGATTCGCTAGATCGTTTTTATCCGACACTGCTCCTCATCTCACCTCCTTCCGCCTGGCCGTCGCGTCGTTCTCGGGGTGGCGGCACGGCAGACCGGGCCGATAAATAATTCGCGAAATTCTGCCTGAAATTCCCCGGAGTCGCGTTACGGTATCCTGCCTCTTCAAAAAATTCCCGTTCCCTCCAGCGCATGCGGCTCGTTCACTCGCTCGCGACGCCACTATCCCAGGGAGAAAATCGCTCCGTAAGGGCGCGCGAGAAGAGCGACGGCCCTCCTTTGTGCCGGGTCCTTCGTCCTGCCTCTTAAAAGTTTAAAGAGGACAGTCAACGTTCTTCCTCTCGTACGACGGATGCTCGTCTTTTCGTTTAAATATGCAACATCGTCGCGCTGCTGGAACGGAGACAAACGATCCGCGAAATTGTCCGAACTTAAAGAGTACGCGTTAAAGAAAGAGAGAGAGGGAGAGAGAGAGAGAGAGAGAGAGAGAGAGCGCTCCAAAGAGGGAGAATGAGAGAGAAAAGTAGCAAGCACAGCCGGGAAATACTTCCTACCCTAAAAAGTGCCGTGGTCCTCTTCCGTATGTGTATCTCTTTACGTCGAGGTGAGTTACGTTAACCCTTAAGCGGCTTACTTCGAGGTTCCGCGGATATCCCGTAGGGTTTTGTACGCGTTGAATGAGCTCGTCGTGAGGGACTTCTTTCTCGAGTTACTGGGTATGTCAATTTTTTGCAACGGTTTTTCTCCCAATGCCCTCTTTCTATTTCTCTCGTAAAGACAACAGCGAATTATGTCTCACGAGTATCGGATAGATTTCCGGAAAATACTTGCATGTCACGCTATTCGTGCTGTTTATCGGACTTGATCGAATGCGCGAAACGATCAGCGTGCTGTCGCGAAGGTATTGCCGCGATCTCTCATAAATCTATTTGGCGGATTGGCTCGGTCGAAGATAGTAAGCTCGCGTCGTAAGCTCCGCGGTATTTGGATTCATCGGGGATTAACCAGTGACTACCGCTTCAAAAGCGATGCAGTTTTCCCGAAGCAACGCAGTTTACAGCTGCGATGCATCGCTCGACGACCTGGCGAGCTAACCGAGAAACGCTCGCAGGATTTCGCCACCTTGAGTGAGAGACGTAGATTGAGAGAAAGCGGGAAAAAGATAGAAAGAGATAGATCAGGAGAGGGTTGGAAAGAGAGCGCGGAAAATGATGGAAGACGTTATCCCGCTTAAGAAACTTCACTCCACGATCCTCAAGTGACCAAAGATAAAAGCGAATTTGCACGGTGATACTTTCGACGATCGGTCTTGAGTGAATGGGAAAAAAGGGGTATATCGCGCAAACAATGCTCTTCCGCAAGAATGATCGTTCGCCTTGAACGACGAAGGCGGAGTCTTTCTTCCTTCGTCGCCGTTCGCTTTCGTCCTTTTTTCACGGGGGGTGGTTTTGAGTAGAAAGAAATGAATTATATCGATGTTTCGGCGCGAATGCGATCGTTCGCGTCGGATAACGCCAACCTGACGAAGAAGAACACGAAGGATCTCGTTTGGCTTGGGTCAGTTCTTATCTTGCCGCCACGTTAAAATAACATTAATATCTTGTTACGGCAAACAATTTAGTCTAGTGATATCTCTGGTGTTTCTCGACGAAAATTTATATTTTCACGATATCAATGTATTTTTGCACAATCAATCTCCATTTCCTCTCCATCTATATGCCGAGATAACTGATATTTCGTGATCCTATTTTTATATTCCCAGCGGACATGATGACTCGCGCAATATATTTCGGCCTAATGCGTCGCATGCATCGAATAGCGCTGTAGGCAGATGAGCCCGATGTGCAATGTTAATGCCGGACGGAATAGGCGTACTAATTAGGGGATATTTCATTAGGACGCGCGCGTAAATAGCCGGTAAAACCGTCCCTGAAATTCCACCCGGTGAACGTTTGCAATCGTGCGTGCATGCGTGAGTGCGTGCGTGTGTAAACGCGCTCGTTCGCGCTAAATACACACGCGCGCATTTACCTCGTCACTTTTGTCCCTTCGGAACTAATACCGTGCCGGAGGCTGGATTGTTAATAAGCGGAATTTGCGAAAACTACCGGCTAGATTGGCGAATATAAATCGCATTGCAGTCGGTAAATAATATCGTACAACACACACTATAACGCTGATATGCGCGTGCATCTCGTCGCCGACAACGATGACATGTATATTGCGTAATTTAGGGCAGGTTAAAGGGTCGGGTTAAAGGGTGTTGAAGACGCACGAACTCTCTCTGTGACCGGCAGGTCAATTGTAACTAACTGTAGATTCCACCGTCGATAACGACGTGACTGGATCCCTCGCCTGTGTGTGTCTCGTCCGAAACGAATTAATCGCGTCCTTGGGCAATTAAACAAATAAGCAAATACTCGACCAAGTAATCAGCTTTGGCAAACTCTTTTAGCCACTAAACGCTCGATGAAGCACTTGTGGAAAAATGCACAGAGAGAATTTTATAGTATAAATTACTAGAATGTTGTCACCGAGGAACAGATTGGGATTCTGCAATAATTTATCATCCTTTCATTTCATACATACTATCTACAGAGACTGACGTTTTTATTAAGAGAATTATTTTTTAATTTAGAGAAATGTTGTTTTGCAAAAAGAAATTTGCCATGTTCCTGAAGAAATTTATCATGTTCCTTAGCAAGATAGGCTTTACTAACATAGCAAAATTGAAGAGAATTTATATTTAAGAAAAGCTATAATATTCTCTCCGTATGGGTTCTTTCATTTTTAATTTTTCTACAATATATCCAAAGCTCATAAAAATTGATAGGGACAATCATCACATCCACCATTTGCAATTACACTGCAAATCCAAGTGCGTTATTTCGATTGAATTTCTTTTTACCCGTTTTAAGTCACGTCAATTTATTACGTTTGATCGTATTAAATTATAATTTACACGTGTTGGACATCTGTTAAATAACGTGATTTAAAACCGCAAAAAACGTGCAAAAAGAGCTTGAACAGAATTGCGACGCTGATGCGTTTGAAAATAACACTAGAATTCACAGTGTTTTCAGTGAATTTGGCATAACGCGCAGATCTGATGATACTCTCCTCGTCGTAAACATGGGAGATGTCGCGCGCATTTAACGTGCAATCGTAGGATATCTTTATGCAGGGTTGTCCCACTCGGACCGTGCTATGTTCTCGGCCTCCGAATCATTCAGGATTTACGACCGTGCACGACTGCGGGTCTCCCGATTTGAGGGGAAAAGAAGTGGTCGATGCAGCGCCTACCTCGTGGAACCAGGTCAGCTTGTACGACCTGGGATTCGCCCTGACGTTGCACTCGAAGTAAACGTCGGAACCCTCCTTGATGTCCTTCGGATTCAAGGTGGAGCCCATCTTCAAGCTGGCGATAGGCGCAACTGCAATCAGAACGGCAGATCGAATTGTTGAGTAAGGTGCTCGTCGACTCCTGCTTTTTATTTCGCGGGGAGAGCAAAAATCATTATTCGAATCTCTGAGTTTCTTTGAGTTCGACTGGAACCTATAATGGTAGCCGATAAATAAAAGATAAATTCTTTTGGGCGGAATATTCGGTGCTTGTGTACTTGTCCACGTGCGTATGATAGCTACGTCGAGTCTCTTTTAATACGTCCCGCGTAGCACGCGAACAGTCGCGGAAAAAGGACAAACGCCGCGAGCGTATCGAGCGTGACATCGTCGGTAATTTATAAACGTCGCTTTGACACAGCATTATTTATGAACCGGCAGATACCGGCGCGCACACGATGCAATAATGTGCGGGTATAAACGGACCGGCGTTTAATGAAATCTGCATTTTCGGCGAAGTGGAGTCAAAGCGCGGAAACACGAGCCGGCCCGTAGTAACGCGCGTCCGCATTACTGCGGGATTTTTATCGCGTGCGCTTCTCTTTCGCGTCACGAAAACCGATCGATCACCGGTGTCGAAGTCGCGAACGTTGGACGCGTCTCTGTAAACGGGGAGTTAGTTAATTCGCAAATGATTATGACGATAATGAAAGGAAGAATAGGGTTGCGGAATTGGATGTTTCGTTAATGAATGTGCACGGAGTAAATTTTACAGTAAAATATTACGATATGCAAAATTTGCTATGCTTCTAGCGAAATTTACTGTGTTCCTCAGAAAGATAGATCTTATTGACAGTCTATTTCTGTACTACTTCACTGAGAGGAAAAATATCTGGAAAATAAGAAATATTTATTTGCAGTGGACAGTAATAACATCTATTTCCTTAAATCTAAATTCTTTTGTTTAAGTAGAATAAACCATTACTTTTACAACAAGCAACGATTTTAGGAAAACATGTTTTCTCATTTAACAGAATTATTTTTTTCAATGTAAAAAGATGTATATTAATACAAATAATTATGACGCTAGTATGTATTGAATAAAAATTTCTTATTTTTTAAGTATTTTTCTCTCTGTATGAAAACATAGTAAAGTTGAGAAGAGTTTATATGAAAAAAGAAAGACTACAATATTCTCTTTGTATACGCGCGCCTATCTCGTAATTGAACAATTGTTCCTCAGGTCGAATAACGTGTAATAAGAAACAAAATAAAATTAATTAACGTGAATAAACATTAAAAGGTGTACGCATACAATGAATAATGTACAATACGTCTCATTAAAATTTTGTCCGTTAATTCACAGTGCCACGTGGACGGGAAGAATGTAAAATGTGCGCGGTAACTCTTCAATTTGTTTTAATTAATTATAGTTACACAAATTCCGCTGTTAAATTAGCAACGCGGGCGGGCTGGATTATTTAGGCTGTCCTCGTTTAATATTAATGCGAAATTTCCCCGTCGATGACTTTTAAATATTTATTCGTTTAAAAATGCATGCGGCAAATTTCGGAACTAATTTAATAACGCGACTGCGTAAATCGCTTGATGATTTCGTTTACAATGCGGACGTGAAATTTCGTTAGTAGCTTTCCAATTCAATTAATTAGCTTTACTAGAATTGGGAATTAAGCTATATTTGAGCCGCCACGAGTACAACAATCGATAACTGCGCTCTCGCGTAATGGGATAACGTTATTACGTAGTATAGCATCGTAAATAGAATCTGGATGTTTGACAGCGAAGAAACGAGCTTAAAGTGATCCTTGAAACGAAACTCCGCGCGCATAAGCCTGTCAACGTTTAAGTGATAAAGCAGAGTAGAACCAGTCTGATGCGCGTTTTATGACGGCGAGAATGAAATTGCAAAGGAACGCAGAGAGCCACGGTTCTTGTCAATAAATACTCCGATCAAATATTTTCGCGAATATCCATGCACAGCAACGACTTGCAATCTGACACAATAATTATACTGTTCAAGCACGCGACGAAACTTTGGTCCCGCATTAATACTGCAAGTTCCATCTAACTCGAATGGAGAATCTCGAGATCTAACTCGCTGCCGCGTGTTCTCCATTTTGAGGGGTAAAGAAGTATGTATTTCAGAATTACTCAAAGTACAATAATGACGTGTAACACACAATAAGAGGATCTTTAAGTAAACATACAAAAATATCAAGTAAACATTTTCTTGATTCAAAAGGGAAAACGTTGGAATAATATCCCGAGTCGAAATGTTGGCTCTATGTTAAACCTTGAATTCTACAACGCAGTAGGAGTTAAGTTAGCAAAGTAAGTTTAATTCTAACGGTACAATTTACTCTTACTTTAGCTTTGATCCGGAATTTCTCTTTTCACCTTCTTTAGCGTCAACATGATGTTGCATGGAAGTAAGGCTGAAAGTAGAATCAAAATTCCAATTCGGGATATCTAGTAGATTAATATTTACTGGATATTATTTTTTGGAATCTTTGATTGTGTCAGCTTATTCCAACTAGTTCTAATTATATCAGATATTATTTCGACTAGTTGAAATAATATTTTTAGTAGATTTTCACTTCATTATAAAAAGAATACACCCAGTAAAAATTCTCGCTTATATAGGACATGGGATTATAGGAAACAGCACCTTGCAGCTGGAGTTCTTTTTCTCGGATGAAATATAACTCGCTGCCGTTGTCGCAAACATCTCGTGTGTGTATTTGTAACGGTACAGTCACACATAATCTCGATTGCAAACGTTGCGTATGCGGTGTGCATCGCCATCGCGTAACACTGCGAAATGGTAATTGCTGGCTAATTCAATCTAGTCTCGCAACACGGCAGACAACCAATGAGAATCGCGAGGATATACGTCGACAAATAAAAAGTGGCATTGATTCGCGAGTGATCGTTTCGTCAGAGATAGACAAACGTTACGTATACGCGTTCCTCTCTCAATATTTTTCTTCGATTTCCCGAAGTATCGATTCGCCGAAATGAGGAAAGAATTATTCTCTGAGTGAGTGGCAGAGAGAGAAAGGGAGACAGAAGGAAGGAAGCGATTTTTAATTAAAGTGACTTTAATAAAACGCGGATTATATGGACGGGAAAATCGACGGTGTAGCGTGTAGCGTAAAAACACCAAGTCTGGGCTCCCCCGCGAGAAATCAACTAGCAAGTACGAATAGCTCTTTCGTTTTCTTCCCAACCGTTCGACCAGAGATAATCGAAGGAAAACACGCCCGATGATCGTAGCAACGGTTTACACCGGCCTCTTGATTGAATAGCAACAAGAAAATCGAAGACTAAATTAAATCGCGAGTCTGGCGCGAGAAAATGCGAGAAACGAGCGGGACGAGGCGCAAGTGTGAGTACGGTGTGTCGTTATTATATTATCGGAATACTCATCGGGGTGTACACATTTCGTCGTGCTGTCGCCGGAATGTGGACGATGACTCACGGAAAAAGAGCAAGGGGGCTAAAGACGGCGCGTCGCGAATTCCCGCGGTAACTCACGTTCGCCGTTTCGTCTCGTCGCGTTCTGTCTCCTTTCGAGCGACTGCGAGTGTGGAATCTACGATCGCGTCACGCCGCGGGATTACAATGCGGTCGCGATTGTGATATTCATATCAGCGGCGGAGCCGTTGATTACGTCGGCGAACACGATCGTCGGGCGCGCACCAGGCAACGCGACATCCCGGGACAGAGCATAATCTCGAAATAAATCTTACATCGGCATACACCGTGCGCGCGCGTGCTTCACCGGATTGCGCGCACGTGTTGGCAGCACGCTCGATATAAACGCACGTGCATGCGGCGACACGCAATATGCAGCCCGACGATGCAACCCGGCGATGCAGCCGCGCTTCGAAATTCGCGGAATACGTGCGTCCTCGTGCAGCAACCGCATCCAACCTCCTCTCATCGCGGGAGAGGGTGTTCCTTCGCACGTGCATTCGAAGCGTACGAGTCGCTTGCTCGGAATCCTTCCGAGCCTTTTGCCCATCGAGAGAAGAAACTCTCTGTGGATCTCTGAGAATTGTTCCTAATTAAATGTACCCGAAAAAATAGAATCTTGTCGTGAGTGAAATTCTCTTATACGTGGCCTCAAAAGGATTCTGAGGTCAGAAGGGAAATATCCCAAAAGAAGAGCTCTAGTTGCTCTAGGGTGCTCCATTTTCTGTAACATTCTAAGGCAAAATTCTTGCCGAATAAGTATTTTTCTTCTAACGAAGTGGGCTATTAATCAGAGATTTACTAGATATTATTCAAGATCTTTTCCTTTGAGTTAAATGAAAATATGTTAACTTGAATGTTCTTTTTACTAGAAGAAATTTCTATATGTTCACCTTTATAGTCCGACACGTATGCTGAGACTAGCAGTTCAGTTCACTGTATAAATCTTTTAATGCATGTTAGCGATTTATACAGTGAACTGAACTGCCGATTGGCATGGATATAAGGAGGCATGAAATCGTGCGATTCCAGCTTTAAACGTGCCGGTCAGCATGCATATCAGAAAGTATGAAATTGTGCATCATGTGATTCTAGCTTAACGTGAAATATGCATGCCAACGTGCGCCCACTTGCTCAAATTTTATTTTATTTTATTTTCGTGTATGAATTTTCATATTTTTCGCCGTATACAACGTTGACCCACATTGCCGTATCTTCGTGTGCAGTCGACGACTTGATCCGCCGATGTAAAGTTGGAAACACGCGACGCACGATTTCATGCCTTCTGGCATGCATGCTGACCGGCACTCAGTTCACTGTATAGATCTTTCAATCCATGATAGCGATTTGTGCAGTGAATCGGATTGCCGATCAGTATGCATGTAAGAAGGCATGAAATCGTTCATCGTGTAATTCTAGCTTAACGCCACGGATATCCGCGTTCGCTCGCTTTGTTTTCAGGGCTTGAACGGACACTTTGTGGCGCCACAAATCTATACAGACTACAGGCTTTACTCTTGTGGCGCCACAGAGAAGCGCTTCAGAGTGATATACGTAAAAGTTTAAAAATCTGTCATAAAACCGGAAGAACATG